TATTGATGTTTTTCTACTTGCTGTCACGCGTGACTTTCTTATTTATTATATTAGTCACAGTTAAGAAGTAAGGCTGATAATCTAACTATAATAATCAGAATGATTCATCAGTTAAAGGATTGAGTTAAAGGTGATAGAATGTGAATGAAACATCTTGCATCCTTTCTCAGACCTTCTGCTAATAGGATAATATATTCCTTAATTGAATCATTTATTTGATAATTTATTTAAGGAAAAGGAGTCTCCTTACTATTAATTTTGTGAAATTTAATGGAGATGCGCTTTATTGCTTAACTGTATTCTATTAAATAAATGTCACTGCTATGTCAATTTTTTAATTTAAAAAAATGTGTCAATAAATACTCTTATCAATGTTTAACAGTATTTTTAGTAGCAAAAATATATTCATTGTAGTTTTCAGTTAGAATATTCTATACATTATTTTTGGACAAGAACTATAATCCATGCATATATACAAGGTTCAGATTAGATAATATCACCCTTAGAGAAAATTGTAGCTTAAAATAGATATATAGAAGGCAAGCGGAATGACACTATTTGTTCTATACCCACAGAAGTACTTCTTATTTGAATGGATTTAAAATTTGAGTATAGATTTAAAATTGTAATGAATGTAATTAACAAGTGGGTGCTGTATAATTTTACATTATTAAAGTAATAATAATAATAAAAAATTCAGGAGTTAATTTGATAATTGAATATCAGTGAAAATTTTTATACAATTACATGAAAGATGAATGTTTAGACCAATTTTGATAACAATTGATAAAGCCGTCTCTTTGAGTGTACGATAAAACATGATAAAGAATGCACATTGCATTTATCCAGGTGATAAACCATGGCAACTAAATTTATGATATGATACACTACTTCAAATATTGCTACTTTGAAATATGATATATTTATTTTATTTTATATCATATATCAAAATAAGTTAAGGACTCCGGATATTATAGAATATAGAATAGAGCAGGTCACATTTAGAGGTAGTTTAATTTTTATTATCATGGTAGACAAATGAAACTTTTTCAGAATAAAGGAATGGCTAGTTTGATGGTAACAGCAACAAGTAAGAATAGTTCACGCAGTACATCACCCAACAGAGGAAATACATTGACCTCGCCTCAACAATTATCAGCCACTTTGGATCATCCTTCAAAAGCACGTAATGCTTCACTGTAAGATTTCATTATTTTTAGATATGCCATATAAATATTCATATTTGGAGCTTACATTAAGATAAAAGTATTTCTTTTCTTTTTCTTTTTTTTCTTAATAATATTTCACATAAAAGTGGAAAGTAATATTTAGAAATGATGTTTCTGGCAATACAGTATGATGATTTAGCTATTTAATTTCAGTTTTGCGAATATTTAAAAGTAAAGTAAAATGATAGAAATATAACAAAGGGACAATATTATAAAACTAAATGTAATTTACAGTTCCCAAACAGGGGAGGGTAGTACAGGCAGTGGAAGTAGTGGAGGTGGAGGTAGTGTCACCATGAAAGGTAGTAGGCAAAAATCACCAGGAACGGTGATTCGAATAGGAGATGCTATGGATGAAGCAAATACCAATTTAATCACTGCCGAACCAGATGAGTTTGTGCCAAATATTCACCTACCAACTGATGATGAAGGAGTATGTAATTTATTTATTGTAAAATAAGTTTCTTTTTCAAGCATATTAAATAATTAAGTTTAATCTTAAGTAATAAGCTTGTTGACTTTAGATGTTCTATGATGAATTTAGTATAATATTAATAATAAAAAAGGTTTTTTTTAATTTTAATACCTCAACATTATATATTTAAAACTACAAAATTAGTGTAATATTAATCTTCTAAATACAAGCAGCAATAGCAAGTAGAATCTTGTATCTTTCTATAACACTGCTTATGTAATGCGATGATGTTGTGCATGCAGTGACAATTACAATGTAATGCAAGGTCATCAACCACAACTGTATAATTAAGGTTATAGGTTAAGAAATGAAATTGCTATTTGCATAATGTTCTAAGTGGCCTTGATGTTTATGAATTCAATCTTCAAGATTTCAAACTATAATCTTGAATTAGGCTTTACTTATTATTATATGTGAAGAATGTATTTTGTTAATTCTAATTCGCTTTGTACTCTTTAATGTTATAAGTATTATACACACATTAATAATAAATATTTGAACAAAATTAATTTTATTTATAGGATCAGTATCATGCGACTCAAACGTTCCTATCAAATGAATCCTCTGAATTAATAACTGATGATGTTGATGCAAGTTCTGCTAGAGTTTGTCAAGCTATTGAACACATCCAAAACAAGATTGCTAAAACACGGGAGCTAATAAGAATAGAACAAACCACGCGTGATGGTAATTTTCAGTAATTAACAGTTAATTAGTACAGAGCTGATATTCATCACGAAGTAGGACATTCGTCTGATATAGAAGTAGAAAATCTAATAATAGTAAAATTCTTTCAGAAAATGTAAATGAATATTTAAAATTAGCTGCTAATGCTGATAAGCAGCAGCTTACTCGAATTAAGGCAGTATTTGAAAAAAAGAATCAAAAATCAGCGCACAGTATTTCTCAATTACAGAAAAAGTTGGACAGTTATACAAAAAAGTTAAAAAATTATGAACTAAATGGAGCACCTACAAGTCATAGACAACCTAGGGAAGTACTACGTGACATGGGACAGGGGCTTAAGTAAGTCTATTCTCTTTGTTTTCATTAACTTGTAAAATTTTAATTGTAGTGGTATAATAGTGTAAAGTATATACTTGTGATAGTTGATATATATATTTAATAGCACATATATTTGACCTAGTAAATTGAAATATAGTTGGTAATGTTAACTTCTTTGAATAGTGAAAGTGGCATAGTGTAAACTAGAAAGTAGGCTGTTTATGCGATCGCATAGTTTATCTTATCTATAAAGTAATATATATATATAACATTTAATAACAAAAAATTAGTCTCATTTTTCAAACAGAACTCTTTCTTCAATTCTTTATTTTTTTGTTTTCACTCGATCTTTGTCCTGATAAATATAGAGAATCATTTCTCTATCTAATTTAAGAATCACTTCCAGAAACGTGGGTGGCAATATTAGGGATGGAATCACTGGGTTTTCAGGGTGAGTGTTAATGTAAAAATAGATTTTAAAACAATATTATTTAACTATTCTCCTTTCATATCGCGTGCGCTATTGTAAATCTGTTTATAGACATTAGCATTTCACAAAGAAGATAGGTAGAGTATTTATAATAGTCACGTTGTATTCATATTCTTATATTGCTTCACACTGGTATGATGTATGTAGTATTATAAGTAAATTGGTGTTAAAATGTAACATGCATAATACATATTATCTAAGAAAATGTTAATCTTTTATTTTATCATATTCTTTATTATCACAAATATCATGCGATTGTTTTAGGACTGTTATGTCGAAGCCACGCGAATTTGCACACTTAATAAAAAATAAATTTGGAAGTGCTGATAACATAAATACATTATCACGTGAGTAATTGTTATTATAAATATTTCTGTTAACTAACATGAGATTGCATACTTGTACACTTTGAAATTCTTATTTTGTTGTTTAACTTGCAAATCCAATTTCTTAAAATGTATTGATTTATGTTTTGTGTTCTACATTGCACTGTCACTAGCACAAATGCTTCATGCTAACAAGTTTCAATTTTACAAGCATTAGTATGCACACTTTTATTTATTTACTAATATATATTTATGAGAGAAATGATACGCGAATATATCATATACTTATCATAAATATATGGTATGTACAATCTGTATATACACTATAAATGTGACGTACGTCAGTCTTAATTAATTTATTACCGATAATTGATGGATAAATATCCTTTAATTTTCTTGCGCTGCCACGGCAGTTGAAAGTAGTAAGTAACATTTTGGCTCAATTATTCTATCTCTCCTATAAATCTTCGTATTCTATTATGTTCCTCCCTCTACATAAATTGTAAATATTCTATTTCATATTATACGTACAACATGTGTTTTGATTTGTCTACAAACTTTGCTACTTAATTTTCAATATTGTCTCCAATTTTCCATTTTAAACAATTCAAAACATAATTCTATTTATACCCACATAATCTACACAACAATTTTAACATCAGAGTATTGTATTCACATATTTCATGAACACAATATTTTTATTACTATTTTGTGTTATTTACTAATTTTGCCTTGTATTTTAGTGGCTTCCATAAATTAAAAATTTGCTTCTTTTTAATGTTGGTTATCCAATACATCTACAGAATACATACTCAGAATGTAATTTCAAAAGAAAGAAAGTACACGATGAAAGTAATTTCTATAGCAATGGATTTGGGAACATATCACATACACACTAGTAAAATTATTTCTAAATTTTAAATAGTCACAGTACTGATAACTTTAAAAAATTAATCAATTACATAGGATGACAAGAACATTTTACTATGAAAGATCAAACTAAACACGATAGTTGTTAACAAAGGCGAATAATTTAGTATTGGATAACATTCTAACATGCGACGTCTGTGTCTCTGCAGATGGCTCGACTTTTTATGTAAACGATACACCGCGTGCAGGTAATGGAGATAACGCTAGTGTTGAAGATGATAAGACGCATCATGGATCAGCTACACTTCCTGGTGGCTGTAGTTTGGGATCAACTCATAGCGCAGCGGCAATGAAATTTCCATCGGAAGAAGGTTCAGAGTGCTCTAGTGTTACAAGTGAAAGTGGACCTGGGAGTAGAGGACAAGCACACACGTGCGACAGTAATAACGCTGGACTTAATCTTAAATCTATATTCTTAGAACTACAAGAATACAGGGAAAGTTTTGATAGGATGAGGGAAAAATTGGAAGAATTGAAGGTTTGTCTTTTTTCTTCGTATACAATCAGAAAAGGGTTCATTGCGCGCGTATTAGTCACGGTTGATTTCCTAATCAACTAATTTTAGAATTTACAACAAGAGGTGGCATTTCTTTCCCATGCATTGCAAGAGGAACGGTTTAGAAGTGAGCGTCTGGAAGAACAAATTAATGATCTAACCGAATTGCATCAAAATGAAGTAGAAAACTTGAAGCAAACAATAACAGATACAGAAGAAAAAGTGCAATACCAAAGTGAAGATCGTTTAAGAGACATACATGAAATGTTGGAGAGTTGTCAAACAAAAATTTGTAAAATGGAACACCAACAACAACAACACCAGTATGTCAGTCTTGAAGGTGTAGATAGTAGCAATACGAGGGCATTAGATGTAAAACTCGTAAATGTAGTATTAACAGTGTTGCAAGTTATTCTACTTCTTGTTGCAACATGTGCTGGTATAATGATGCCTTTTCTAAGGACCAGGTATAGTTATTTCTTATTATCAATGTTTTCTTCTCTTATAATTATAAATAAAAAGTTATCAATTAAACGGTGTGGAAAAATTAAAGAATTTTTACTAATAATTCATATTTTTTGTGCATTCATGCTACATCCATTGTTGCTGGCATTTTAGTTTCTCATATACATGCATTCATAATCCTTCATCACGTTACAATGCCATCAATTTTTGTTTGCGCATTCATTGTTGTATTTTGTTTTCACATCTCTGTTGCAGCTGTACTAAGCCTCATTGTTTCATGTGCAGGGTGCGCATATTAACGACAACATTAGTTGTGTTGGGCATAGTATTCGTGCTCAAACAATGGCCTGAGGTACACGACGTTGGCAGTCACCTCATGCGCCATCTTAAACAGACGCTCACCGAGATGATTAGACGTTAAGTAGCATCGTAAGTAAATTATTATCGTGCTAATCTATTTACGGAATAAACGGAGCGTAAGATAATTTTGCAAGAAATATAAAAGTATGAACATATCATGGATATCTTCAAACAGTTCAATTTCAATATTCGATTTCAATGAGATCGATTTCAACTTCGAGGTATAGCGAGTACATGAGATTCATTTTAGGGTGGTATGCGTAAAATTTACTATGCCCTGTGATGAAGAAAAGTTGTACACAATGATCAACATTTTGGATCCGTTTATCAGTGCTGTAGTTTTGGAGCAATAATAGTAGGTATATGCGCAGACGACTTTATATCTATACTAGAAGGTAACGATGTGCTGAGGTAGTGAACTCAGCAGAACTTTAAACAAAGAACTGTGTCCTCGCGGATCCGTTCCAGTTATAATTGTTGGATCAAAAATTGTTTGAAATATTTAAAAAACTTTCTGGACTGATCTTCAAAAATGAAAACCAATGTGAAAGAGGACTCTTTTGCTCAGCATTAGAGTGTCACTTTCCTACTATCGTTAGATACTTCTTGTTAACTATTGGGTGGAAAGTCTCTTTATAGTCCTGCTAAGTTTACCACCTCGCTATATCGATATCTCTAAGTATACCTCGAATTCGATCATATTCACCATTACTGTACTAAATCAGATGAGTGATGAAGACTATTTGATACTGTTGACAGAACTATGATAAAAAAAAGCATATTTTGCTGTGCAAAAATGTTTTGCTTAGGAGAAAAAGATTTTTTAGGGGTGAAAAAGTAAGAGTGTATTTTATCTTTCGTAAATTTAATTTCTCTCTCCTTCTATTTGTCTGAAGAATTTTATTTAAAAAAGATACAAGCATTTGACGCGATCAATTGCATGTGTACAAGTAGCAAAGAAATAATTATAATTTGTATGAAACTAAAATAACTGTTATGGAGTATAAAAGGGGCAAAAAGTAGAACGCTGTACACTGATATTGCTTGATTATATACGGCAGATTATTAGGAGAATTTACTCTCATATAGTGTCATCAAGTAATGATCACGTTCACTTTTTCATGAGTCATTGATTAACACAAAATTAGAAGAAATTTTTGAATGAGTGAATGCACTCACTTAAAGTTAGAGGAAGAAGTGTTTTATCATCAGTGTCTGTGGGTGGTGCCTTTATTAAAATTAAAATTATTACGTTTGATGTTACAGTAAAAGCGAGTCATTTACGAGATACATGATTCTAAACCAAACGTTAATAATTAAAATCGTCCATTTATTAAACAATAATGTAAATTAAGGAAACAAAGCAACACTTCATTCAGTAGATATTCTTCACCTCGGTAAATGTAGAATGACATAAGGAATACATTAATGTTGACGATAAGATGTGAAGTTAAATTCATGAATTGCAAGGATTCCAATATTTCTAATTATCTTCATATTATCTCATTCACAAGCGTATTTTACATTCATGAGACTTTAAAAAGTAAAACCATTTGGAGTATTTAAAAAAAAAAGTGTGTATATATAACAGCAAATATCAAAAGAGGACCAACATTCTCTCTTCCTCTTACTACTTAATTGTAATTTAATTCGTGTATGATGTAAAAGTGATACATGATATAGAATAAACGAATATCGGGCTTTTTAGTGCTCATGAGTGCTTGAACCACCACAGACACAAGTATGCAGATACATAACGAATGTAGGAAAATGAACCATGACAGATATTGAAATGAGAGAAAGACTGATGGACTACATCGCTGTTACAATTGTGAATAATTTAGTATTCGTGACAATTTTATGTTCTTAACCAAGAGAAATATTAAAACAGGTTAGGGAAAATGAGAAAACAGGACAACAATTGCAAAAATGTGTAATTATAACGTGGAGAGAAGACAAAAAAATATTTTTAATTTAACATACAGGTGCTCAAATCTGTGAGTGTGTAAAATAAAATATTGGTCTACGTAATTCTTTTTTATCGTATCGCCGCTATTTAATAGCGAAATATAGTTTATTTTTTATTAAGTTCCCTAGTTTCTGCCCTTGTAGTTTTATCGCCAATCAATCAATAAATGCAAAGTTTTACAACCCGCTGTTGTTTTACAAATACGTAATGACCGAAGTATACAAAAAAAATCATATTTTTGCGAAAGCAATTGATTCCTTTTTTATCGCCTAATATTATATATATATATGTTATTATTACGGAATTTTCTTCATGTTTTGCAGGCAAATAATTTATAATTTATATT